TTTTAAAAATTTAGGGGAAGGTACAAATAAATTAAAGAACAGTTTATTTTGTAATAGGTTGTCTCTCTTGAAATAGTAGCCCTACCATTTTTAACGTGTATATAAAGTCAATAGGCGAGTATTCCCAATACAATAAATAAGGAGAGTTTTTTTTTTAAACAGTGGCGGCATATAGGCAATTTGGTGTCACCCCCCATCCCGAATGGTGTCACCCTGTAGCTAATGATTTATATAACTTTAATAAGCAATTAAAGTAATTAAAGCAGATTGGTTATTAATTTAGCTTGACTTATTTGTGGTGTCACCCAATTGGATGGTGTCACCCCCTTGAATTGTGTCACCCCAGTTGGATCGTGACACCCATCGTAGTCGCACCCCCCCCCCCCCCCACCCCACCTTGTAAATCATCTTTTTGTAAACAGCTCTAAAAAAAGTAAACACACACAGCTTTTTGAAAATTCAAGATTCAAGCATCAACAAGCAGACAAAGAATAAATAAAAACAAGAGAAACTGGTAGATGAAGCTTAGAGTCATGGTCCTGGTCATTTTTTTATGCTTAGATTCGTGGTGCTGGTCATTTTTTATGCTTAGATTCGTGGTGCTGGTCATTTTTTAATGCTTAGATTCGTGGTGCTGATCAATTTTTAATGCTTAGATTCGTGGTGCTGGTCATTTTTTTATGCTTAGATTCGTGGTGCTGGTCATTTTTTAATGCTTAGATTCGTGGTGCTGATCAATTTTTAATGCTTAGATTCGTGGTGCTGGTCATTTTTTCCCACGTTTTCTTTAACTTGCTTTCTCTGTTTGTGTGTTTGTCTTTCCAATCAAATCTTGCGATCGAAATTTCTGGCACTTCCCAGTTAGCTAGCGCGCTGAAATTTTCAGGGAAGCTTTCTTTTGGATGACCATTGAATATTCAATTGTTATTATTACTAAATTGATCAATGGAAACATTTTATTGAGCATTTTAGACCGCTATATAATCTATATATATAATTCTCCTCTGCTAGCCATTAGAAAAAAAACCAGCGACGCGTACCTCGCGCGCAGTGAAGCGAACGATCACATGTCGCCACAGGCTTAGGGGCAGAGAATTTAGCTTGAACCGAGTTTAAACTTACAGGAGGTAGGCCAGTTTGGGGGAGACGATATGGTCGAGTGGTTGGGCACACGATTGCTATCCCACTCGACACGGGTTCAAATCTATGTGTTAACACAACGTGTTTTTTACGAGTTGTCTTTTTACGAGTTGTCTTTTTACGAGTTGTCTTTTTACGAGTTGTCTTTTTACGAGTTGTCTTCGTTTACCCAAAAAAAGTGAAAAGATAAAATCGATAGCAAGATTTTAATGCAAACAAACAAAGACTAAAAAGTAAAAAATAATAATCATTAAAAAAGTTTTAAAAAACCCACGTTTTCTGATTGAACTAAAAAGTAGAAAATAAACGCTATACATCACAATAATGCAAGCGATCACTCTACTATAAGCGATCAAAAACGTGGGGCGCCGTGATTTTCTTACAGTTTCTAATACTGTTGACTCTCTACAAGCTCCCTAATAAAAGTCAATAGTATTATCTAATCAATAGTAATATAACTTTTACTTCGGCGCCCCACGTTTTTCAGCGCTTATAGTAGAGTGATCGCTTGCATTATTGTGATGTATAGCGTTTATTTTCTACTTTTTAGTTCAATCAGAAAACGTGGGTTTTTTAAAACTTTTTTAATGATTATTATTTTATGCTTAGATTCGTGGTGCTGGTCATTTTTTTATGCTTAGATTCGTGGTGCTGGTCATTTTTTTCATGCTTAGATTCGTGGTGCTGGTCAGTTTTTAATGCTTAGATTCGTGGTGCTGGTCATTTTTTTAATGCTTAGATTCGTGGTGCTGGTAATTTTTTAATGCTTAGATTCGTGGTGCTGGTCATTTTTTAATGCTTAGATTCGTGGTGCTGATCAATTTTTAATGCTTAGATTCGTGGTGCTGGTCATTTTTTAATGCTTAGATTCGTGGTGCTGGTCATTTTTTTATGCTTAGATTCGTGGTGCTGGTCATTTTTTAATGCTTAGATTCGTGGTGCTGGTCATTTTTTAATGCTTAGATTCGTGGTGCTGGTCATTTTTTTTTTATGCTTAGGTTCGTGGTGCCAGACTTCAGTGGTGCTGATGGTGCAGGTGGTACCAGCCGTTAGTGCTACAGTGCTGATCTTGGTGCATGTTTAAGGTACATGAGCCAATTGACCAATCATTGAAGAAGTTGATTAATATTTATAAAGACCCAGTCTAATTTATAGAAACTTTATTTGAACGCTTTGCGGCTTTTATAAATAACTGAAAATTTAGACATCCAACATTTTTACAAATATAAGTTTGTTTCTATTTATAAAATTGATCTGTGATATTACCGATGTGTCAGTAAAATATACGTTTGTATGAATTGAATTATTAATTTTTTTACAGATTACTTATAAACTTTATATTGAATTATCATGATGTTTTTGCTAAAAAATGTGTATAATTTCTCAAAGGAATGCAATCTTCTCAACTATTTATACAACGGATTCGATTGTTTTATTTATGTTATCGCCCCTGTTATTTGTCTCTTCTCAAATATTAGTAAGGTATCCAATAGGTACTAAAGTGACCCACGCTTTTCTTTATAATTATTTAAATAGTGGTGTACAGTTTATTTTCTACTTTTAGTGCATTATTACATAAAAGCTTGTTATTAAAACATTTTTATGACATTTTTTTACAATCTTTTTATTTAACTAATGTGGGTCACATTAGTCTCTATTGGATACATTTACTAATATTTAGGAAGAGACCCACGCTTTTCTTTAATAGTAGTATATAATTTATTTTCTACATTTTATTGCATTATTACATAAAAGCTTGTTATTAAAACGTTTTTTATAAAAAAAAGTTTATGTCCTGTTTGTCTCTGTCTATCTTCTGATCAAACCTACATTAAGAAAGCGATACGTTGTTGACAAAACAGAAATGCTAATTTCACGGTGGTTTAAATGTTTTTTTTAGAATTGATGACACAGATAATGGGACAGAGCTAGCTCGGCTTTTGCGTATGGCTGTACTTGACACATTTTATTTTATTCTAAGTTAAAGGAAATATACTTCAATATTTACACACACTATATATATATATATATATATATATATATATATATATATATATATATATATATATATATATATATATATATATATATATATATATATATCTGAGTGTCTGTGTGTGTTGTGTGTCTGTGTGAGATGGTGCGTAAGTGCGTGCGTTAGTGTGTGTGTTCGTGCGTGCGTGCGTGTGCGTGTGTGTGTATACGTGTTTGTGTTGGTGTGTGTGTCTCTCCCTCTCTTTGTATGTATGTGAGTGTACATGTGTGCGTGTGGGCGTGTATGTGTTGAGTGTGTGTCTGTGTGTGTCTGTGTGTGTGGGTGCGTGTGTGTGTGTATATGTGTAATCATGAACAGATATTTACCAACTGCTTGGGCTGTGGATAAAGGAATGGGCGGTAGGCAGTGTATCTTTCAGACTTTTTTCCTCGGTGGTTGGATGGGGGGGGGGGGGTGCCTGACATTTTCGGGGTACAACGACGACGCTGGTATAAGTATATATTTTCTATATAAATTCCATTTCGTTTTGTGGGGGCGGCTTTAGACTTTCTGTCCCCCCTCCTCAACCCCCACAGCCTTTAAAGTTATGTGAAATCCATGCACAAATTACATCAACCCCCCTCCTTTTCTCAGTTGTGTTTACTTATAATATATCTGATGTTTATGATGGGGAGAGGAAAAACCTCTAGAGAACCGGAATCAGATGAAAGTAACAAAACAAAACACAGGCGTAAGTTGGCCACTATGCTGACAGCTTTCGTTGTTTGATTGGTCAGATAGAGGGTCACGTGATCATCGATCAAGGACATTGATAATACAGTTGTGTGACATACCTAGGTGTTTGGGTTTTATTTACCTGTTCATACCTGGTGGGTCATTCAGACTGGTAGATGCTCTTGGCAGATATCGAGTGGGAGAGAGCGCGTGGTTGCTAAACCCAAAACTCCCGAGTTCGAATCCCTGGGTAGATGAGGCTCGTAAGTTATGAACAGGGATCAAACTAAGGGAGAAAACTTTGAAATTAAAACAGGAGTGGATTCCCTTAGGTGATAGGACCACCAACTGGGGTTTCATTTCGGCAGCTTCTGCAAACGAAGTTGGTATCTAATGTCATGCTTTACATTCGTTCGGCCTACACATATCGAGAGAAGGTTCACCAATTATGGGCGATCAGTAATCTCTAACTCCCTTGTAGGCTACACCCGTGATGAATTCATTTCCACGGGAGAATTCGTTGTATTGCGAGGGAAAAATTGCGATTATATATATATATATATATATATATATATATATATATATATATATATATATATATATATATATATATATATATATATATATATATATACATATATATATATATATATATATATATATATATATATATATATATATATATATATATATATATATATATATTCATATATTCATATATATATTATATATTCATATATATTCATAAATATAAATAAATTTATATATATATATATATATATATATATATATATATATATATATATATAAATATATATATATATATATATATATATATATATATATATATATATATATATATATATATATATATATATATATATATATATATATAAATGGTTGTATGGTTGGATTGGTTGGATTGAGTACCTATATTGTGTTAAATATGCGTGACATTGTTTATCCCGGTGTTTCTTGTAAACAAACAACCTGTTTCTCCATTAATCTCGTCCCCTCATCTACCGTACGACTTAATCCTCACAATGCACAACAAAATCACCCAGCTGTTTTTTGATTGGCTAGTTTGTTTGGCCGGGTTTCAAAATGAGGCTATCCATCAAGCGCTAAAAATATAGCCCGTATAAAACAAGTTGAGCTTGCGCCCTGAAGCGTATGAGATTACGTTTGACTTGAAACAAAACGGATGTTTCAAAAACAAAACTGGCAGTTTAAGTAGTAGGAAAAGAAAACTTTCTTTTCTAAGGCAGTGCATAACTTTAAGGTATGTTGTTTTTGAGGAGATTAAAATTTTTGAATGATTTTTTAATTTTTATAAGTTTTTAGATTATTTGTTTTCTCTTGTTTGAGAATTCTTGCGATGCGCGCAGAGTTTCTTCCAGTCACCTCTTCGGGGGAACGAACCCCCGAAAAAATTCTACCGCCCCCCCCCCCCGAAAATTTCAAGTACCCCGCCCCCCCCCCCCGCCCCCCCCCCCCCCCCCCCGGAGAAAAAAGTCTGGAAGAAACCCTGGATGCGCGTCCGTCAAAAGGGTAAACTTGCTATCGAAACATCACCCTGTGTTACTGTGTTACTGGACTGGTTGCTTCTTTCAAACGCGACAGCCCTTCAAAATAATTGCTTTATAAAATAGCATATATATATATATATATATATAAATATATATAAATATATATAAATATATATAAATATATATATATATATATATATATATATATATATATATATATATATATATATATATATATATATATATAAATATATAGTTACACACATATTGATGTATTATTGCTATAGCTAAGACAATCATTACTTTTTTTTTTTGGTATACGTAAAAGCTTGTCATTCGAATTTTTTTTTACGAAATTATTATTTTTGTCCTCTGCACTGAAGCGCTTCTGCTTAGCACAGTTTCTTTCATGTATCTTTGCCCCCCCCCCCCCCCCCCCACCCCTCGTCTACCGCATCCCCACTGTGGAATATCGTTCTTTAACATGAACAACAGGTCTAAAAATCATAGCGCAGAAAAATGCCTTTCAGTTATGTTTTATAAATATTTTTGTAAACACTATACCAGTTCTGAGGTTTTGATATAACCTTTTGGGTAATTATTTGGTAGTGCAGTTTATGTATTCCAATTAGCCTTAATGTATAATTTGTTAATAGGTGTGTGTTGCTTCAGATGATTTTGACATGGCTTTTAAAACTATTTAGTTGATTTAAAAGTGCTTTTAAAATGTGGATTCAAATTTTAACACAAGACAATAGCAAAGTGTTCATATCGATGAATACGGAATTTTATTTAACTTTTGCTGTAAGACTTTGATCTACGGCTAGAGCTAAGGTCAGTGTGTAATTAGGTCAAATGTTGAACCATATCTAGACTTATAATCGTCTTTCCTCCCTTTAGTGTTAGAAGGGATTCCCTCCAACACAATTAAGAATTACGTACCAACTTGTAATGCGTCTATACTAGTCTATAGGTCGTTGACTCCTTATTTCAGCCTGCTTTACTTTTTGGATTTGCTTGCATAGCCTTTGCCCCACCAAGAACAAACTACATGACAGCGGTTGTTTGACATTGAAGTAGTCTCTTCTAGAAGATTTGCTGACCCCATCTATCAAGCCTCATCTGCAAGAGGATTCGAACTCGAGACTTTTAAAAAAACTATTAGCTTTTACCAAGACGACCACGACGACCCATACTTGTATCTGATATGGCTATACTGGAGTGAAGAGAAAGACGACTTATTGTTTATTAAAATTTAAAGTAGGTAGGCCTAATATGAAAAAAATAATTTTAATTTTTTTTTTTTAAATTTCCTACAGCCTAATAAAATGAAGACCAGCGTCAACATCTTCTCTCTGTGTTTGGTGCTACTGACAGTGAGCCATACATCGGCTGACTTCAACAGTGAAAGAGCGAAAGTGACACGGGCATGTAGCTACACCGTAGACAAATGCGTGCAGTTATCAGGCTCGATGATGCCTGACACTGATGCCAAATGGTGCACGCTGCTGGGTTCCTCTAAAGACGGCGTCACGTCCGAACAGTGTCTTGTCCAGCTGGGCTACTGTAAGGCGGAGGAGTCCACGGCGCTGAAAAACGGCGCATGCGCGCAGTCTACCTCGCCGCAGCAGACGTCAAGCGCGATAAAAATTTCCGTGTACGGTGACATCTCCAAGACAACCGAGCAATGCCAGAGCAGGATCGTGAGCTGCACATTTGACACCAGCGTCGGCACCGTGCTGAAGCAACAAGAACAGTTCTGTAAACTCATGAACCTGGGCGTATCCGGCAAGACGACCAACACCTGTTTGAGCCAGTCCTGCACGGAATCGGAATTCGCTCAGCTGAAAACCACCGCCTGCTCGACGACCCAGTCCATGCGTTTTTCCGACGTCATCGTGGCCACGTCGCTGACTTGCCAGAACGGTATGGAGACCTGCACCTACTCGACCACCACCACCACCACGACCACCACCAGCGCCCTCGCCTTGATCCGGGCTCAAAGATACTGTGACGTCATGAACTACAAGGCCCAGGTGACAGCCAGCGAGTGTTTGAAAGGTCAAGGCTGTACTGACGACGAGATCAACAAACTCAAGGCTGCGGCCTGCAGTGGTTCTCACATTGTGGCTTCACTCGTCCTTCTCATCGTTGCTGCTTTGTACAAACTTTTGTAACCTCTTTACTTACAATATACTACTTTACATTTCCACAATCTCATTTTTTCAATGACTTTTACACAATGTTATTTCATATTCAGCACAACCACATTTGTCTAACTATTATATTTTAATGTTCATAACCAACCATATTATTGTGTATAAAGCTAGTTTGTTGAATTCGTTTTGTTATGTTATTGTTTACAAGCAAAATATGTTACAATTATAGCCAGGTAAAAACAGACGTTCGTGGCCCAACAACCGTGAGATAAAATCCAACGCTTAAGGCAAATACGTCGCCAGCTTATCGAGACAATCTGAAAAAAAGATTTATGACATTCGCGACATAATAAAAAAAAATTAAATATGTTTTAAAACATTAAAAAAAGACCCACTTTATCCTTCTTCTTTCTTTGTTTTTAATTTCGAATGTTGGAAGGGATTGCCTCCAACACAATAAAGTATTACGTGTCAACTTGTTATGCGCCATATTGGCGGTTGAATCCGAATTCAGCTTTCTTTTCGTTTCAGATTTGCTTCCATAGCCTTTGTCCAACCAAGAACAAACGTCAAGGCAGCAGAATACCTACACTCCGATTTAATTTTTAAAAAATGTAATTCGTTTTAAAACATTAACAAAAATTTAATATAGAAAAAATAAACGTTGAGTCCGCAACGTTCCTTCAAGGGACGGCGTGGTCTAGAGATAGACAACGTACGTGCAGACCAGAAAGTCACGAGTTCGCAACCCAGGCTTGTGGCGCTAGGACTCCCAAGTCCAAACCAGGTGGCGAGATGCACGGGGGAAGGATACAAAACACCTAACAACTGGTGGTCTAGCTGCTGGTGACATTGGTGGCATAATGCCCTTTCCCAGTCAGAGGCGTAGCTAGGGGAGGGAGCGTGGGGCGGTCGCACCCTGCGCCGAACCTAGGAGGGCGCCAAACAGGGTAGAAAAAAATTAAAAGCGTATTCTGAAGTCTACTCAGTCAAAGAATTTGGCTTTATGGGTTTATTTAAATGTTTTCTGTGACACCAAAATAACCGTTAAGAGAAAGTGACTGGTAAAAAGATTATTCGCTATTTTAATAACTATATATAAACAGAGGGGGGGGGCGCAAAATGAATATTTCGCCCCGGGCGCCGCAATGGCCCCAGTCTATCTGTGTAATCAGCACTACATAAGACTGCAATGAGCAAACTTCATTAACAACTATACACACTAAAAACTGCACTGTGTAATTTTATCAGAATACACAATGTGTGCGATTTATTTGAGTTATAACTTCATTTATTTTAAGATTATATGACTTTTATATAAATCAAAATATTTTTAAAAAAAATTGTTTTGACTGATTTTTTGAAAACAATGAAATACTACTCTGATATCAATAAACCCATTATCTCTCCTTAAACAAAAAATGCAATCTCGATAAACTAGAGGATTGGTTAAGGTTACGCAGCTATTTCTATTGTTAGGATTCATCTTTAAACCTATCGATCCATTGGGCAGATGAAGTAGAGTTCATCTGTTTCATGATCTTGGCACATGAAGGGATAATGCTAGGCCACACCGTCTTCTCTATTGTGGATTATCTTAATAATCAGCTATGGTCAGGATCAGTGGCGTAGCGAGGTCGGGTGTCACCCGGTGCGGCACTAAATGGTGTCACCCCCCAGAATCGTAGTGACCCTTCCAGGGGACAAACTTTCGAATTTTCGATTCGCACCCCCCCCCCCCTCTCAAACTTTCGATTTGCACACCCCACCCCTCAAATTTGTCTCTATATATTTTGCTATTTTTTGCCTTGGTGTCACCCCCCTAAATGGTGTCACCCGGTGCGGCCCGCACCCCCCGCAACCCCCTCGCTACACCTCTGGTCAGGATTTTTCTTAATGCTCATTACATTTTAGGGCTGTCTATGAACTTTGAACTCGGTTTGACACCTCTAAAGATGATATATTGCAGCTTCGCACATTTAGAATATTTCAACGATAAGTCAAGACCAAAGACAGGTTGTTGTTACTGGGTTTTGGAGGAAGTGGCGAGGTTGTGGGGCAGTTGATAGAGTGAGGGTGTGGAGGAGTTGGTAAATAAACATTTATAGAAACTCAGCAATTTAGCAAGACTTTTAGCTAGAAGTTAACAGACACAAGACTTTCATCTTAAAATTTAACAGACACAAGACTTTCAGCTACAAGTTTTAAAAACACGATATTGACCTAGAAGTTCCACAAACACAGGGACTTCCAATTTGAAGTATAAGATATACCAAATTTAGAAGTGCTTTAGGGGTCGGCGTGGTCGAGTCGGTAAAGCTCATGGTTGCTAAACCGAAAAGTCTCGAGTTCGAACCCTCGGGCAGATGAGGCTCGTTAGCTAGGGACCGCCACTCTTCTAGGAGAGACAACTCCAAAATTAAACAACTGCTGCCTTGCAGTTTGTTCTTGGATGGACAAAGGCTATGGAAGCAAATCCAAAAAAGCAGGCTGAAATCGGCCTCAATGGCGCATAACCAGTTGACACGTACCGCTTAATTGTGTTGGAGGCGTGATCGAGTCGGCAAAAAGCTCATGGTTGATAAATTTGAACAAAGTCTCGAGTTCTAACCCACTGGCAGATAAATCTCGATCCCCTTCAACGCTAATAATTAAGAACGAAGAAGAAAGAAGAAGTGCTTTAAAAAAAAGACATGAAGACAAGTCCGGATATGTATCCAACATAAAACCATTTCTAACGAGTACTCTGGTCTCTGTCGAATAACTCATCAACCCACCACAGCTAGATTATCTCCCTTGATTATCTCCCGCCCCAAGTCATCTAGACCAGGGTTCTCCAAACAACGGCCCGCGGAGATCTTTTTGTCAAAAGAAAAATTGTTTGTCGTTGATTGCTGAGGAACTTTTCCCAGAAAAATCAAAGACATGCCTGGAAGAAACTGGCCCCTGAACTGAAATTTGATAGTTAATGCAGCCCTCGGACTGAAAAGTTTGGAGACCCCTGATCTGGACAAGAGAAACAGAACTCTGAGCAGCTTTTCCATGGGTCTAAGCTACCATGGGACGTTTTATTATTCTTTATATTTTTTTTTAATAGTGAAGTACATCAACATACCACAAGCCAGCGTTATATCGTAGAATGAAAAATGTTTGAATAAGTGGAGTATACTAATAATTTCTGTGACGCTGTGAAACTTTTTTAACTTTGTATTAATATGGTTGTAATTCTAGAAAATGAAAATTATGGCCAAACGTATGTATATTTTGCCCAAAAATAAATTTATCATCACAACCAAATAACATATATAGTCTACTCAATGAGTCATATAGAGTTAGATTGGTATATATCAAAAAAAGGAGGACCATAAAGAAAGTGAACACATTAATCTAAAAGTAACTGGTCAAGATGGTAGTGTAGTCCATTTTAAAATTAAGAAGAACACACCACTGCGAAAGTTGATGGGCGCTTATTGTAATAGAGCTGGAATACAAACAGGAGTTGTAAGATTTAGATTTGATGGAAATCCTATAAATGATGAGGACACACCAGCTATGCTGGAAATGGAAGATGAAGATTCAATCGTTTTTTTTTTTAACAACAGACGGGTGGTTGCTTGTCTCGGACATGGTAGAAGAAAGCTTGCAACACTAAATGACAGTGAAATGGAAGTTAAATTGCTGATTAAACTGGGAAAGTGTGTTGTACAGTGTAAAGATTCTCACATCCAAGCCAGCAATGTCATTTTTTATTACATGTTAATTATGGTTAATGATGATGTAAAGACTTCAGCAAAGAAATTGAAAACAGCAGTTAACGCTTAAAGACATGAAAGTTCTTTATTCAACTGCCCCATAGGTTTGTGCTGAGCATTTTGTCTGTTACTATCATCCCATGTATTTTGTAAAATTCATTAATGTGTACATTTCATTTTGTTTTCCAATTCTGACCCTAAATTTGTAGTTTACTGAGCTCTCATCTTTGCATCTTTCATCTTAACATAAACATTTTTATTTTAAGTTACTGTATGATTAGTCACTTTGTCATGACCAATAGTTACTTTTAAAAAATATAAGGAATTATCATTTTTGAAAAATAAAAGTTTAAATGTTAAAATTTTTTTAAAAAAAATTGGTATATATCAAACTGTATATGTATTTCAACTCGAAAAATGTAACCAATAGGAATTCACCCTAATTTCTTTCACATTATTTACATTTGATGTGCTCGTTATCATATATGATAGGTCAGTTGTGTGATCATTAAATCAACTACATAAAGTTATAGCTTTATAATATAAGGCATTTTATTCTTTTCATTCTTTTCATTTATTAGGCAAACTAAGGATCAAACAATTTAATTTGTGTTTAATGTTTTATAGAAGTCTAGAGCGGTGTGGTCTAGGGGTAGATCTCAGTAATAAAAATGTGAAAATTGTGAGATCGGAACCAGGATGCCGTGTTCTCGGCACGTGCTTAATTAAAAGATTAGATAATTGTACTAGATAGTCTACACGTGTTAGGGATGAACACTCGGTCACCGAAAATGTTAACTCTACTTCATCTGCCTTATTGACCGCCAGGCATCAGGGGATGTAACAATCTATGCATAGAGGAGCGCGGTATTTGACATCACAGCTTGCCACATAATATTGGCAGTGTACCATTAATGTAAAATAACTTTTAAAAATTGACAAATCAACCAGAATGATAGAAAAAATACATTAAATAATAAATATAGTAATACAAAAAATTCATTAAATTAATAATAGAAAAATACAATAAAACTTGAAGAGTCAAGATAGTAAGATTTAAAAATGTTAACACTCAGCACAAGCTAAATCTGTAGATAATACCCAAGTATTTCCCTTGCTTAAAATACACCTTCTTAGACAGTAAAACCTTACTACTTGAAGCTGTTACTTAATGTTTGTCTGAACTGCCAGGATAGCACAAAGGTAAGTTTAACAGTAACGTTAATCCAGTAGAAGTTCGACAGTTATATAAGGCCTATGGGTTATGGTAGTATTTTCATTTCGTCATTTTGAATTAAGCGAATAAAAAAAAAAAACACAGGTCCCCAATAGTGACCAGTTGTTCTGTGCATAGAGAACATTCAATGGAATAGCCGCTCCCATGCCAAGATTACGATGAAAACAAAATTTGTTTATTTAATTTTAAAAAAAACAACAAAAACATGAAATCTATCTCACATGAAATCTAAGGCAAAATAGATTTAAAAAATCGCAATTATTAAACACTGACTTCTTTCTTTCACGATCATCCACTACATTCAACGACCTTTTCTTTTATAGAGCCTGCTTTCTTTCTTTTTTTTTTCTCGCACACACCCTATCTTTATATATATATATATATATATATATATATATATATATATATATATATATATATATATATATATATACATATATACGTGTGTGTACGTGTGTGTGTGTGTACAGACAGACACATAGCTAATCCAACGAAACAGCGCGTTATTTTGTTCTGTATTTAAAAGATTAAAAGCAGGATCAAGAAAACTGACGAACTATACCGAAAACAAGTTTGTTTACATGAAGCCCTGCCCGCCGGAAACAACGTCACGTCTTATCGAAATGTTTGTCAACACATTTCCAATACCTAACCTGACCTACAAAACACGTCACCACACACCAGCAACAAACGCGGGTTCGTTAAAACTCGATCTTTTGGAATTTAAAATAGATGGCCGGGGTAAACAGGTACGACAGCTTATAGGTAAGGAAGGCGATTTATATATGTTCGTCAAATTGTTTGAAAAAATGGGGAAGAGAGATGGTCAGTTTATAATCAGTGTGATTAATGAAATTAAATTAATATGTTTTGGAAGAATAGATCGATATGTGTGTTACACTGGAGGGTTGGAGATGTAAGCAATGTTTCTTTCAGACTTTTTTCTTCTCCCGGGGGGGGGGGGGGGCATTTGATATTTTTCGGGGGAACGGACTAAATTATCCGGGGGAGGGGTGTGGACACTTGTAAAATATATATTTTCTATATAAATTCCACGGGGGGGGGGGGGGGGAGGGGTAAACACTCTTGGGGGTAGGGGGGGGGGCGCTACGCCTGGAAGAAACTCTGGGTGGAAAATTATATCTTTACTTTGATATTTCATGTCAACAGACTTGTTTTTTTACCATAATCTTGGCTCCGCACCAGTAATTCCGTTGAACATATTCTCAGTACAGCGCAACTTGCTGCCATTGACGACTTGTTTTGTATGCGTCTGAGCTTAAAAAACGAGGCTATCAACACAACAACATCTTTAGCCTATATATAACAGCCAAATCTTACCCGCTATGCCATTTACAATACGATTGTCTTCAAGCGTGTCTTTTAGTTTTCATGACAGTTGATAAGAAAAAGGAAATAACTTTTAAAAAGTAAGCTAATAAACTTGTCTATCGACATTTGTATTTAAACACGCTGTGTATTTTAATTATAGGAAATACATGGGTTAACCTTATGTTGATGCATTAAAAAGTGAATGTACAACTTACATTTTTTGTAGACATTATTTTAATACTCTGCTTGATTTGTCAAATGTGTTTTTTACGCTATCAGTGTATACTGCCGTTGACCGCTGGATATAACGGTTTTATTTTTTATCCTTTGCTATCAGTGTTTCTTCCAGGCAACTCACCGGAGGGGGTGGGATGTGGTCCGATACCACCCCCCTCCCGAACGAAATGGAATTAATATAGAAAATAATTATATACTTTTAATAGTGTCCGCCCCTCCCCGGAAATTTTAGTCCACCCCCCCCTCCCAAAAATTTCAAGTTTCCCACGGAGAAAAAAAGTCTGGAAGGAACACTGTTTGCTATTGTTGCGAATTGTAATGTATGAGAAATATATATATATATATATATATATATATATATATATATATATATATATATATATATATATATATATATATATATATATATATATATACTAGCCGTCCCGGCCAGGCCCTGCTCTGGCTTCTGTGAAAAACCTTTCTGTTAAAGACCATTACCTGTGTGTTTAGTAATCATCATAAACCCGGCATTGCTCACCCAAACCACGACCAACCAAAACCAAAACAACAAAACGCAAACATAACGCTAACACAATTACAAATACAAACGAAAACAAAAACCTAGCAACAAACCCAACCACAACCACAAACACCAATACAAACACAAAGAAAAAACAAACAAAAAAGCAAACGAAAACAAAAACCTAACAACAAACCCAACCACAAACACCAATACCAAAAAAAAAAACAACGAAAAAGCAAACAAAAACAAACCAAATCCAAACGCAAAACCAACCAAAAACACAAATACAAACCCAAACAAAAAAAACACAAACAAAAACGAAAAAAGAAAGAACAAAAACGAACCAAATCAACACTCAACCACTAACGCAAAACCACCTAAACACAAAGAAAACACTAACGCGAACATAAACGCACAGTGCTCAGAGTCTAGCCCGGGGCGGAATCGCCTGTTTCAGCTTAATAAACGACTATAGTACCCCAACTTATTCATAGTTTTTGCACTCACTTAAACTGTTTCAATTTAATGAACAATTATAATACTCCAAGCTTATCCGTAAAATACCTACAGCATTTGCACTTGATCAATCCCCGCTAATTATGTAATTATTTTTTTCCCAACACCAAAACAAAGTAATTAAAAAGTAAATGCTTTTCAACTAATGCAATGGTTTTATAAAGGGAAGTAATTGTGTTTTGCCTAATTTATCAAAGGGAAGTAAGCGCTATAGGACTAAATAAAGACATAATTAGAATTGTTGTAAAAGATGATATTTTTTTAAAACTTGTGTTTAATGAACATGCCGACAATTATTACTATAATTTGAAAAATGAAAATGATTTCCCAACACATTCAATAGTAATTTTTTAACTCATAAATTTAGAGAAATGCGCACGATAATATTATAACACTTAAATCCATGGATAACCATCGACAAACAAACATATGCGTTACAGAATTGAGCTTTATATATTATATATATATATATATATATATATATATATATATATATATATATATATATATATATATATATATATATATATATATATATATATATAATTTTTTTTATTTTCTTCAGTCGAATAAAATGCAAACCAGCATACATGTCGTGTCCTTGGCTCTGGTGCTACTGTCTGTGAACCCAACATCCGCGGACTTCTACACTGAGAGAGCGAAAGTGACACGGGCATGTAGTTACACCATAGACAGGTGCCTGCAGGAATTTAGATTGAGCAATCCCAGAACTAACACGCTGTGGTGCCTGCGACTGGGTTACCACACCGCGTTTGTGCAGTGTTTAGTAGCTAACGGGTACTGTACGGAAGAGGAGAAGACTGCGCTGAAAAACGGCGCATGCGCAAGGTCTTCCAAGCCACAGCAGACGTCAAGCGCGATAAAAATTTCAGTGTACGGCGACGTCTCCATGACAACCGACCAATGCCAGAGACAGATCGTGACCTGCACTTTTGAGACGAGTATCGGCACCGTGCTGAAACAGCAAGAACAGTTCTGCGATCTTATGAACGTGCGCATCCGTGGTTCAACTCTCTCCGCCTGTTTAGCCCAAGGCTGCACGGAAGCGGAAGTCACCAAACTAAACTCGACCGCCTGCTCGATATCGCAATCCGACCGGTTCTCACACGCCCTCGTGGCCACGTCAGAGCTCTGCAAAAATGGCACCGAGACCTTCTTCGAGTCCACCGAATATTCGAGTGTCAGGGTCATTGACTTGATCCGGGGTCAAAGATACTGTGAGGTCATGAACTACAGGGACCAAATGACAACAAGCGAGTGTTTGAAATTTCTAGGCTGCACTGATGAGGAGATCAGCGAGCTCAACACTGCGGCGTGCGACAGCTCTTAAGTTTTTTGTTCAATTGTTACATTTATTTGTTATTCTATTTGAATGCCTGGGCAATTGACTTGATTCGTGCTAAGAGGTACTGTGAGGTAATGATCTGCTTGTATCAAACGACAGCTAGCCAATGCTTGAAGCTACGAGGTTGAACGGATGAGGAAATCAACGAGCTCAAAATGCGGCATTTATTAATTTCTCGGTTCAATCATTATTTTTATTTTTTTTTATTTTGTTCTAAATATATCTAACTTTCGGTTAACTTCCTATTTTTTTTTTACATTATTTGTAATATATTTTAAAAATATTTAAAAACTATATTAGTGTAACCAACTTCATTATCTACTATACAAAAACGAAAATGCACGCAATCCAATGCTCTATTTTGCTTTATTTATTTATCTTTCAGTATATTATATATTTTTTAGTTTTTACATAAATCTATTTAAACTTCAGTTAACTTCCTGTTTCTTTTTACATAGTTTGGTATCTATTTTTAAATTTTAAAAACCATATTAATATAACCAACTTAGTTATCTACTAAAATGAACATGCTTTATTTGTCTTTTAGTATATTATATTTATATTTTTAATTTGTATCTACTCCAATGTCACTCAGATAGTATAGTCTCCTTTATCAGGTAAGCTTTTTATATTCTGCGGGCAGAAAGGCATTGATTCTTCCGACATTTTGTCGTTGTTGTTGTTTTTTAATTTCCATGTGACAGAAATAATATATTTCAAGTATAAGAAAATATTCGAAGCAGAATAAAATGAAATAAATGTGTCGTCTGGTTTTTATTCCTGGATGTTTAAAAAACTTAATCATCTAAATCCAATTCTCAAAGAATGTGAAAAATTATGCGTGTTGTTGACATAAACGCGAGCATTACACTTTAGTACCTATTGAATACCTTACTAATATTTGAGAAGAGACAAATAACAGGGGCGAAAACAAATAAAACAATCGGATCGGTTGTTTAAATCGTTAAAAAGATTTCATTCATTTGAGAAAGTATACACATTTTTGAGTTGAAAAATCATAATAATTCAACATAAAGTATATAAGTAATCTGTAAAAAAATTAATAATTCAATTCATACAAACGTATATTTTACTTACACATCGGTAATATCAGTGCACAGTTTTATTTGTAAAAATGCTGGATTGTCTAAATTTAAATTTTCAGTTATTGATAAATGGCCACAAAGTGTTCAAAGAAAGGTTCTATTAACAAGACTGGGTCTTTATACATATTAATCGACTTCTTCAATGATCGGTCCATTGGCTCATGTACCTTAAACATGCACCAAGATCAGCACTGTATCACTGACGGCTTGTTCGACATGCACCATCAACAACACTGAAGTCTGGCACCACGAATCTAAGCATAAAAAAATGACCAGCACCACGAATCTAAGCATTTAAAAATGACCAGCACCACGAATCTAAGCATAAAAAATGACCAGCACCACGAATCTAAGCATTAAAAAAATGACCAGCACCACGAATCTAAGCATTAAAAAAATGACCAGCACCATGACTCAAAGCTCTATCTACCAGTTTCTCTTGTTTTTATTTATTCTTTGTCTGCTTGTTGATGCTTGGATCTTGAATTTTCAAAAAAAAAAAAAAAAAGCGGTGTGTGTTTACGTTTTTAGAACTGTTTACAAAAAGTTGCATTACAAGGTGTTTGGCTTAACAACATATTATATCTATAACTGTTCAGCCACCAACAACATATTATGTCTATAACTGTTCAGCCACCAACAACATATTATGTCTATAACTGTTCAGACACACACAACATATTATATCTATAACTGTTCAGCCGCCAACAACATATTATATCTATAACTGTTCAGGCACCAACAACATATTTTGTCTATAACTGTTCAGCCACCAACAACATATTATGTCTATAACTGTTCAGCCACCAACAACATATTATGTCTATAACTGTTCAGCCGCCAACAAAAAAATTATGACTATAACTGCCCAGAGAACAACAACATATTATGTCTATAACTGTTCAGCCACCAACAACATATAATATCTATAACTGTTCAGCCACCAACAACATATTATGTCTATACTTACCCAACAAACAACAATATATTATGTGTACAACAGGCAACACCATAATATTTCTAGAACTGCCCAGCGAACAACAACATATTCTGTTTATAGCTATACATTTTGTCAAGCTGTCAATCAGATATGTTCTACATTATCAGCAGCTTCTACCAGTACCCAACAAACAGTACCCCAGACGGAAGGTCCAAGAAACGCGTCAGTTTCCAGTGCCACCACAGGTAATATTTGATAAAAATTTAAAGAAAGAAACTAAAATTATAATAACGAAATACTTAACGGTTGCTAAGATAAAAAAAATAAATAAAGTAATATTTGACAAAACCGGCACACAAAAAAACGTTTGTAAATTTTTGACGAGTGCATAAATTAAAAAAACATAAAAGTGAACTCATCCCCAATGTAAATGCAAAGGGTTTCAAAAATTTTTGTTAGCCTAACGCTAAAAACACACCTTCTTTAAAACTAATTACGATCATTGTACATAAGCTATTGCATATTCACGCTTCTGGTACAAATATAACTGCCCAGAGAACAACAACATATTATATCTATAACTGTTCAGCCACCAACAACATATTATGTCTATAACTGCCCAGAGAACAACAACATATAATATCTATAACTGTTAAGCCACCAACAACATATTATGTCTATAACTGCCCAGAGAACAACAACATATAATATCTATAACTGTTCAGCCACCAACAACATATTATGTCTATAACTGCCCAGAGAACAACAACATATAATATCTATAACTGTTAAGCCACCAACATTATATTATGTCTATACTTACCCAACAAACAACAATATATTATGTGTACAACTGCCCATCAGGCAACACCATATTATATCTATAACTGTTCAGCCTTCAACAACATATTATGTGTACAACTGACCATCTGGCAACACCATATTATGTCTATAACTGTCCAGAGAACAACAACATATAATATCTATAACTGTTAAGCCACCAACATTATATTATGTCTATACTTACCCAACAAACAACAATATATTATGTTTACAACTGCCGATCAGGCAACACCATATTATGTCTATAACTGCCCAGCGAACAACAACATATTCTGTTTATAGCTATACATTTTGTCAAGCTGTCAATCAGATATATTCTACATTATCAGTAGCTTCTACCAGCACCCAACAAACAGTACCCCAGACGGAAGGTCCAAGAAACGCGTCAGTTTCCAGTGCCACCACAGGTAATATTTGATAAAAATTTAAAGAAAGAAACTAAAATTATAATAACGAAATACTTAACGGTTGCTAAGATAAAAAAAATAAATAAAGTAATATTTGACAAAACCGGCACACAAAAAAACGTTTGTAAATTTTTGACGAGTGCATAAATTAAAAAAACATAAAAGTGAACTTATCCCCAATGTAAATGCAAAGGGTTTCAAAAATTTTTGTTAGCCTAACGCTAAAAACACACCTTCTTTAAAACTAATTACGATCATTGTACATAAGCTATTGCATATTCACGCTTCTGGTACAAATATAACTGCCCAGAGAACAGCTACATATTATATCTATAACTATTCAGCTATTAACAACATATAATGTCCATAACTGAATAGCAACTTATTATATTTACACTTACACATTTAGTCAAGCTTTTAATTATTTTAAAAGTGTAAACGACGAAGACATTTTATCGTTTTAATTATTTTTTTCTTCAGACTCGAACGTAGTGGGATGGGCATTGGGAGGAACTGCTATTGGTCTCGCGTCAGGAGCTGCGATTTTTTTTGTCGTGTGGAAGGCAGGAGGGTGTCGCCTGATTCTTGAGAAAATTAATTGTAGATGCTCCTTCTCCTTCACCAAAAGATCAGGTAAGAAACTACTGGCAGTTTGAAAGACCGCATGTAAAATCAAAACACGGGACAGTGCTTAATTTGTTGACATTATTATTACAACATTTTTTACTTATTACCTTTGTTTTATATTTTAAAACAATCCAATATCTAAAACTTAAAATAACACTATTTAAACAAGATTCATAACACAAGTTCAAACAGATTTTGTCTTTAAAATATGAGGTAAAATATATTTTTCAGTCTACTTCTCTAAACAGTTTTTTCTCTCTTCATAATCAGCCAGGAGAATTGGACCAAAGGAAGCAAACGAAATTGAATTAAAAATTCAAGTCTGTGCTTGTGAAGAAAGCAGTTTTTAGAAACAAACGGAGATCACTAATTGTTAAATTTAGAAAATTAAGAAATTTTTTTTCAAGTTTTGGAATCAGCAATATGTTTTCTTTATTGTAATCGGACAGTGTAAATTCGTCATTTTGTTTTGGGTAAAATTAAGTGGTTCGTCATTTATTGTATTCAAATTTAAAATTAAAAAAAAATATATTTAGAGAAAAGCCAAAAGAAAAATATTACTTTTAATAGAATCGTAAATAGTACATTTTTAAAAAAAATATGCAAACTCTTATAACATTTGTAACTTTTAGAACCAAATCAATAGTATTTCATAAAACAGTTTAGTAAATGTCTTCCCATCAAGTTTAAGTGACGAAAAAAATCCTGTTTTTTTTACATAATATTAACATATTTGCTTTAGCCATTTGACTTCACCCAGCTCTGGTCTTTTGACTACCTAATGAAGTAATTTAAATTTGCATTGAAGACACTTGCTTGTTGTAGAGTCGTTGACGTATTCCGAATGCATTATCAGCAAATAAGAAATTTATAGTTTTAAAATGTAACAAATAGGTGCTGGCAAAAATTTAATAAAACATTAGAAAAACTAGAAACAGTGACCATAGAAATATTATGCGACATTTTCGATCGGCCAGTAGTAATATAACCTATGTATTTTTATAAATAAATAGGTTGAATATGCTTATAAATAATTATTAAAACAATTGAAAAAACATTTTTGGGTACTTTTTTTTAATTCCAAGAGAATAAACCATTACTTAGATTTTTTTCTGATGTAAAATAAACCAACTCTTAAAATAACAAAACAAAATAAAATACTGTAAAATTTGCAATATTTTACCTAACAATGCCGTTTTGTTAATTTAAAATATTAATACTAAACAGGAATATATATATATATATATATATATATATATATATATATATATATATATATATATATATATATATATATATATATATATATATATATAAAATCATCTTAACAAATTATGAAGGAGTAAAATGGGCTTTGAAAAACCACTCCTTAAATTGGACATTGAATAACCACTCCTAGGCCTAGGAAAGGACGAATCCAACAACAGCGTAGGCAAAAGCCACTGACACCATATCCAGTAGAAGATCTGTGCAGAAAATAAACGTTTGCTCTATAGAAATTACATACAAGGTCCTCACATCAGCAACGAGACATCATAATGATTTGTACCGTTTCTCGATACATAAAGTCTAAAATACTAAACAGGGCCAAAATATTTATAAAGCTACATTATGATCACAATTTTATTTTTATAACCTATTTTATTTATTCCACCCTAAAAGAGGCTTCACAAAAAAAATATTTAAGATTTGGTTGTGTATTTCAATTAATATAGTTAACAGTATTGAAGTATAAAATAGGTATAATTTTATTAACTTCTATATAAACTTGTGAGGAGGGGAGAAGGAAGAGCATTTTCCGGAACTTAAGTAACTATATAAAAAATAAACCGGGAGTGATCTCCCCTAAACTTTCTCAAATATTCTTATATAACTTGGAATGTAGACTTGATTTTTAATTACTTAAACTTTTAAAAATAGAATAGAATCTCATAGAAAAAAGAATTGCACACCAAGCTAACGCCAAAATAAAATGTGCATAATAGTGCGCAATATTATTAGTACTTTATAAATTTACATGCGTTTTTTGAGAAATCGGAAATAGCGTAAATTAGTACTTCCGGTCAACGGAAATTACTCACAATTAGACAGAAGGTAGAGAATTAGATCTTTTACTTACATGTGAAATTTAATTTACAGGCTTTTGAAAAATTCAAAGTAGGAAAAATACCACTTCCGGTTATCGGAAATCGCTCAAACGTAGATACGGATCTACGATTTTGATAAAATACTTATATATGAAATTTCATCAACCTAGCTGTAACGGTACTCAAGTAATCGTGTTTACAGACAGACAGACACACACACTCACACACACAGACATACGGACAAGATTGCAAAATTATGTTTTTCCGTATCAGTGAGGTGTAAAACGTCGAGATTTGTAAAAATCTCGATTTTTTTTTATTTGCACGATTACAATACTTTCTCTATACTTCGTATATACGAGAAAGTAAAAAGGACTAACCATTTTCTTTTATTTATTTGGTCGCTACGCCTCTAATTGGATAAGCATTTCTCTTAACATAGTCATGAAATACAAATACCACTTTATTCATTGTGGCTGTTTTGGGCTGATGTAGAAATATGTGCTGTTAATTTTTTTATAGGCCTATATGAAGATGTAGGGAGTTTGTTACTAGCAGATGTAATACTCAAAATAGATAGAATCTGTTTTTTTTTTTAAATTTAAATTAACGACCCAACTACTCACCTACTGTCACTGAACATAAAGCAAAAGACGTAGACGCAGCCACCGAATAAGTCCTGATATACCGGGCTTGCTCAATTTTTTGACCAGGAGATAAGACACGATTGTGAACAATATGGCCAAGTTCTGTGGAAAAAATAATGGAAATATATATGCTTTTTTA